GGTGAGATGCTTCGCCCCTTTTTTCGTCGTATGCTCTCGATTCTTGGTGCTCCGTAGTCGAGGTTCGTTAGGAGAATGGCCTCGTAACCATAGACCATGAAGAAGGTGTGTAGCCAAGGGTCCCGGCTAGGAGTTGTCCTTAGGCTCCAGAGCACGGTGGGAGCTCAGCCTAGCTTGACGTCGCGCTGAATTTGTTCAATCGGTTGAAAATTTCGGGTTTGAGGCCTTGAAGGAGCATGCCGTTTATGGCGCTCGACCTGCCCGCTCGTCTCGGGGTGTGCGACGGCTGCCCGATCGATCTGGATGTGTTGTTCATCACAAAATCAAACGAATTTCCCTACCGGTGAACTGCGCGTGCGTTGTCCGTAATGATGGAGTTCGGTACTCCAAAGCGATGGACGATGTCGAGGAAGAACAAAGACGGCTTGCTCGAATTTGATCGTGGATATTGGTCGAGCTTCAATCCATTTTGTAAACTTGTCTATGGTGACAAGCGGTGGGTAAAGCCCCCGGGCTTTTTTTTGAGTGGCCCAACCGGTCGAGCCCCTAGACCGCGAAGGGCCACGTGATGGGGATCATCCGGAGAGCTGGGCGGGAGGTGTGTTTGCCGAAGCGTAATCTTGGCACCCTTCGCAGTGCATACAATTTGCTCGGCATCGGCTACTGCGGTGGGCCAATAGAAACCTTATCGGAATGCGTTTCCAACCAAGGTTCTTGGTGCGGCATGATGACCGCATACTCCACCGTGGATGTCGCCCAGCAGGAGTTTTCCCTGTTCGTCAGGGATACAGAGTTGCAGAATTCCGATGTGACTTTGTTTGTAGAGTTCTCCCTCTATAAGAATGAAGGACTTGGCGCGTTGTGCGAGCCATCGGGCTTCTGTCTTGTCGGTCGATAGTATGTCGTGGAGGAGATAGCCGAGGTAAAGTGTTCTCCAGTCATCAGGAGGATTGGACTCCACTGCTGGGTCTTCTTTAAGCTCCATGACCTCGGGGTCGGGCGGAGAAGTTGGCGGATCGGCCCTGGGGGTCGGACTAGAAGGGCCATCGTCGGCTTGTTCCGACCCCGCGTAGCGTACCGAGGGTTTGTGTTGATCACTGGCAAAGACACCTGTTGGGACTGGCTCTCGGCTGGATGCTGCTTTTGCGAGCGTGTCGGCCGCTTCGTTGAGGTGCCTGGGGATGTGATTGAGTTCGAGGCCATCGAATTTGTCCTCTAGACGCCAGACCTCTTGACAGTACGCCTCCATCTTGGTGTCGTGGCAGCATGACTCTTTCATGACCTGGTTGACGACCCGGTGAGAGTCGCCCCGACGCCGAGGCGCCGGATGCCCAGCTTCGATGGCGATTCGTAGAGGCCGTTGATGAGCGCTTCAGATTCTCGCAGTATTGTTTGATGAGGGAAAATGAAGCCGAACCATATACCTCATGTGGACCCCGAGGGGGATACAAAGACTAGTCCGCTTGGCGCGCCTTCTTCATCGGTGATCCGTCAAGTACATTATCCAAGACTTTTGATCGACGGTGCTGTGGTGGCATCCGGACCTCGGTCCACTCCATGATGAAGTCAGCTAGTGCACGAGATTTGATCGCCGTTCGGGGACATAAGAAATGCCCTGATCCATCAGCTCGAGTGCCCACTTTGCGGTTCTTCCCGTAGCGTCATGGCTACGAACGACCTTGCCGAGGGGGAACGACGTCACCACTGTCACGGGGTGTGACTCAAAGTAGTGGCGTAGCTTCCTTTTGGTGATGAGGACGGTGTAGAGGAGTTTCTTGGTAGTCTGCGGGCCCCTACGTCCCAGCTTGTGGACCAGGGATTCGCAGGTTGTCCCGGACAGAAAGGCTCCTATCACGTCAGCGTCGGCGACGTTCGGGAGCTCGTTGCACTGTCGAGAGAAGCGCCGAATGTACCCGCGAAGGGTTTCATTGGCCTTCTAGCGGCAGTTTTTGAGGTCCCATGGGTTTCCAGGGCGTTTGTACGTGCCCTGGAAGTTACCCACGAAGATCTCCATCAGATTCGCCCAACTCTAAATAGCATTGGACGGTAGTTGCTCCAGCCATGCTCGCGCCGAATCGGCCAAGAACAGCGGGAGATTGCGAATAATGAAGTTGTCATCGCTCGCACCACCGGCCCGACATGCAAGCCGATAGTCTTCGAGCCAAAGCCTAGGATTTGTTTCGTCGGAATATTTAGGGATGTTGGTAGGCGGTTGATACCTTAGGGGGAATGCAGCGTTGAGGATGTGTTGGGCGAAGGCCTGAGGGCCTGGTAGGCCGGGGCTCGGGCTTCGGTCCTCGTTGCTGTCGTAGCGCTCACCACGTCGGGGATGATAGCCGCGGCATGCTGCTTCTCCATCGTTACCGTGGGCACGTCTCTGAGCGTCGATGATACTGCGTACGTCGCGGCCATGGCTGAGGCGTTGATGTACTAGGACGATGGAGGGTTGCCCGTCGGCTGGCGGTGTTTGGTATACAGATGCGTCCTTGGTGGGACGCACCGAGGGCGCACGCTGGCTGGTGTCGGGTTCGCGTCGTCGGGACAACAAACTTTCCGCCTGCTGCGCCGCTACTCGCTCGAGCAACATGCGAATCTCCCGGCGAGCGTGGCGATCCTCGGACGTCGTGGCCTCCGGAAGGCCATGCAGCAAGGCGGTTGCTGCGGTGATGTTCTGGCTAGCTCGGGCAAAGTGAGGAAGGGCCCCATCGTCGGTGAGGATCCTCTGATGTACGGTGCAGGCCGTGGTGCACGCGCGCCCCCCGTCTTTGCGGCGTTCAATCTCACGATTGATGTCCGCGTACTCCCGGACGAGCCCTTGTCCGGCCTCATCGATCTCCTGCTGACGGGCCTTCAGCTGCTCCATCCTTAGGCGAGATGGGGCTGTCGTCTCTTCCCCGGATCTGCTGTCAGGGTTGTTTGTAGGGGTGACCTCTTCCCTGGAGGCGCTTTCGACGTGACCTTCGGGGGTCTGTGTCATGAAGCACTCCCGGGAAGGGTGGTGGCTCCCCCTACTAGAATCCGAGCTAGAGAACGATCCCGGCTCCTCGTTGAGGAGCCCGTAGAGGGTCTCCGTATCATGTTCAATCGCCCCCACGAACTTGATGTCCGTGGGTGACTGAACCATCCGTAGCGCCAGAAGGTGGCTAGCGGTTGCCGCAGCGTTGCGGAGACCGAACGGAAACGCTATCGGGGCGCTCCGTACTGGACCTTCTGGACGTAGGGTGACGTTGTGCGAGACCTCCCTTGGTGACCGGACTCCCAGGGAGTTGCCTGGCGGGCCCTCAAGCCTAAGACGGCTGAGGTTGATGGAAGGGAGAGATGGGGCCACAGAGTGAGTCAGCGCCAACTCTCCTTCTAGTGTGATGATGAAATCTAGGTCGCCGAAATGCACGTGTGCGCTCGGGACCCAGGTGATTGCGTGGGTGGCCATCCAAGGCCTGATTTGAAACGCGCAAGCCCCCTACCTAGCGCGCCAACTGTCGGTGTTTCGTACAAGCACCGGCAAGTAAATTTATAGTAATGCGCGTTAGGCTCGGATGGTGCGCTAAAGGACACAAGATTTATACTGGTTCGGGCCGAAAGTCCCTACGTCCAGTTTGTTGCTGCTTGTGTTATTAGCACCGTGAACGGTTTGTAGTAAGGGGTACAAACGATCGAGAGAGGGACTGGTCCCAAGTCTCTGGTGGAAGGGTTGAAGGGATGTCAAGAGGTTCGACACAACTTGACTATGCGTATCTGAGAGTCGTCTCGTTCCATCTCTCTTTTTCCCCCCTTTATGGAGGAAGCACATCCCCTTTTATAGATGAAGGGGCTGGCTTTACAAGGGTGAGGGCTTTAGGATGCGTACTCTACTTAGTCTTGTGGTTCACGTCTACCCGGCCTGGTCCTTCATTCTGATGAGTGCGAAGGAAGATAAGCACCTACAATACTGTCGATGTCCCTGTAGAATGTCAAGTTGGTTACAGAATGCTACCCTACGCAGGGTATAGGCCGAAGTACAGTGGTTTTGACTTTTGAGCCTCCCCCAGCCTTGCTCCGCACGCCTTCTGGTTCCTATGAGTCTTCGTCGGAGGGACGCGGGGTCGGGGTCTGGAGTAGCGCCGTGGCCAAGGTCTTCTGTCTTGGTGGACCTGAGGGGTCGGGAAGCGGGCGCCGCTCCCTTGGGTCCACCGCGTGGTGACGGAATATCCGTCGTTCGTGGAGATAGCAAATCCTTTTCTGGAGCGTAGTGGTTGTCGTATATCTTCGTCGGGTTCCGTGTCCCAGAGCTGAAGGCGGCGCCTACAACTCTACAGGGTGGAGAGCTCGCACCTGTGACACCTTTCGGGCTCTGCGGCGCCTGGAAGGGCCTAAAGCGCCCGTCCCGTCATCCCCTGGCAGTACTTTTCCTGCCAGGGTGCAGGGTATGGCTCTTGGAGCCACGGTTGACCCGAACGTCATGTCTTGCCCTGTCTCTATCATCTTGAAGGAACAGGGAGAAGTGGTCAGGTAAGATGAATCCAATCTTTAGATATGGAGCAGAGTGAGGCTTGTTTCTTGCCGTCGGGCGAAGCGGAGTCCAATCCCTATCTCCTGGGCGAGACCGAGCCCGCTCCTCCAGGGTCGGGCGAGGCGGAGTCTATCCCTCAGCCCTCGGGCGAGACCGAGCCCGCCCTAAAGGCGTCAGGCGAGACGGAGACTAGCCCTGGGCCCTCGGGCGAGACCGAGCCCACCCCAAAGGCGTCGGGCGAGGTGGAACCAAGCTCCTGTCATTCCCGTGAGGGGTGAAGCAACGCTCTTATGCGTCCAGAAGTTTTTAACGTTCGGTGGTTATTGGTTCCACCTTCTGGGGTACCCCGGTATTAGGTCCCCGACACGAAGCTTCAAAACCATCTAATTCACTCATTCGGTCGTCATCGACTGATATGTCATTTGGTATAAATGAAATGATGGAATATAATGACAATATTACTGTAGTCACAAAAGGTAAAGAGCAGCTATATACAGGAGAAATAATTTATATGGTGAATCTGGATTTATCTTGTAACAATCTTACTGGAGAGGTACCTGAAGAGATCTGCACTCTTGTTGCACTGAATAACTTCAACTTCTCATGGAATGCTTTAACTGGAGAAATTCCTAGAAAAATCGGTGACTTGGCACAAGTAGAGTCCCTCGACCTATCACACAATGAGCTTTCCGGTGAAATCCCCACAAGCTTATCAGCTCTCACGTATTTGAGCCACTTGAACCTGTCATATAATAATCTATCAGGAAAGATACCATCTGGAAATCAACTGCAAGTCCTCGATGATCAGGCATCAATCTTTGTCGGAAACCCAGGTCTCTGCGGTCCTCCTCTCACAAAGAAATGTCCTGAAACTATCTTGATCCCTGCTGCTCCAGAAGATCAAAAGGATGGAAGCGATAATGCTTCCCTTCTCCTCGGCATGAGTTCCGGATTTGTGATAGGGCTCTGGACAGTATTCTGCATCCTCTTGTTCAAGACCAAATGGAGAATTGTTTGCATCACACTCTATGATAAATTGTATGACTGGGTTTACGTGCAAGCAGTTGTTGGCTCGGCTTCTCTGTCAAGAAAAATGGATACCAGGAGCTGATATCAGATTATCAGAATCAGCTACTCATCACGTTGCTCCTTACTTAATGTTGTGATTTTGAATAATGTAATCTACATCTATTGTTCAAAAAAATAAGTGTGTTTATATAAATTAGAAATGATCCACGAGAGTGGTATATGGCTTCACGTTGGCATGCTCATGTCTTTGAATTAACTAATCTACTAGAAAGACAGGCGAGGCTTTGCCGCGTCCTCCGTTTTTTTTAATAATGAATAAAGCATCCGGTTTCATCTACCCGAGGGTAGAATCAGGCCAATTATTACAAACACCAGGTCCAAGACCCTTGCCCAACTCAAAAACTTAGAGGGTCACAAAACATCCAAAAGGATAACAAAGTTGACACCGAAGAGATCCTGACAAACGCTAACCAATAAATCTGTTCGATAACCATCCATTGGAACTAAAGAAGTGAAGCACGGACGTCTCTAAACGTTGCCCCGCAAGAAGAAGCTAAAGACGAAGCTCCTCACGCCGCTGCAGCTTTGCCCATTGCCGCAGCCAGTAAGTTCCCCGGAATAGAACCTGCAAAAAAAAAATTGGTCTGCACTTGTCAAAGACTACCTCATTTCTTGTTATCCAAATAGTCCAACATAAAGCTGAAGCTGCAGTTAAAAACAATAAATTGTAAAGCTTACTACCCCGTTTTGACCAATTAACAAAAAGATCATCTATACTCAGTGGGGGTGGTAATCCAAACATGAGATGAACAGCGCGCCATAAGAATTTAGCGTATGTACAGTGAAAAAAGAGATGTTGGATCGTTTCTGGACAATGGCAAAAAGCACAACTTTTGTCACCATTCCGGTTACGTCTAGCAAGGTTATCCTTAGTTAAAATCACACCTCTCTTTAAATACCACAAAAAAATTCTAATCTTTGATGGGATCTTAACCTGCCAAATATCTTGTGACACCCTTACCCCATTGTTAATTAACGCAGCATACATAGATCTCACTGAAAAAGTACCTGATGAATTAAGTGTCCAGCGAAATTTGTCACTTTCCCCCTGTAAGTTTATATCTTGTAGAGAAGCTACAATCCTGTGCCAGTCTCTTAAATTCCTATCCACTAAATTTCGTCGGAAGGAGATATTTAAAGGAACCGTTGCAAGAACTGTTGCCACAGAATCCTGTTTTCTTCTCGCTATATTAAACGACGTGGGAAACTTATCCTTCAACGGTTTATTACCTAACCAGGTATCAAACCAGAAGCGGATTTGGGACCCATCTAACACCTTGAAAGTGCCGAAACTCATAAAGGTATCTTTAACTTTCATCAGACCTTTCCAGAAATGTGAATCTGTTGTTTTTTTGTACAGCTCCCAAGTGGTTTATCTTTTAGGTACTTATTTCTCAAAAGTTGTTGCCAAAGACCTTCCTCATTTAATAATTTATATAGCCATTTACTCAACAAACATTTATTTTATAACTCCAAATTATGTATGCCTAAACCCCTTTGGATTTTGGGTTGGCACATTAACTCCCACTTGGCCAACCTATATTTTCGCTTATATTGATCACTTTGCCAATAAAATCTTGATCTAAAGCAGTCTATTTTTTCTAAAACTCCTTTTGGTATTTCAAAGAAGGATAACATAAACATTGGTAAACTAGAGAGCACCGTGTTTATTAGAACCAACCGCCCCCCTACTGAGAGCATCTTACCCTTCCAACCACTAAGTTTCTTCTCAATTCTTTTCTCTATATCCAGCCAATCCTTATTACTTAGTTTCCTGGTGTGCATGGGTAAACCCAAATACCGGAAAGGATAGTTACCCACCTCACACCCAAACAACTGCGAATAAAATTCTTGGTGTTCTTTTTGTTTCACCAAACAAAAGATTCCACTTTTGTGAAAATTTATTTTGAGTCCAGATAGTTGTTCAAAGGTACTTAAAATTAATTTTAAGTTCAGTGCTTTGTCAACATCATGACCCAAAAAATCACCGTATCATCCGCATATTGTAAAATCGATAAACCATCTTGAACAAGATGAGGAATAACCCCTTCTGTCTGACCAACTTCCTTAGCTCTAGCAATTAGTATAGCAAGCATATCAACTACTATATTAAAAAGTATCGGAGACATCGGATCACCTTGCCTTAAGCCTTTTTTTGTTTGGAAGTAAGGTCCAAGCTGGTCATTTACCTTAATATTTACATTACCTCCTTGTGTGAAATGCTTCACCCAAGAGCACCATTTTTCTGAGAAACCTTTAATTCTTAGCGTCTGCTGTAGAAATTTCCAATCTACCTTATCATATGCCTTTTCAAAATCTATCTTAAAAATAATTCCATCCAATTTTTTGGTATGCATTTCATGAATCGTTTCGTGGAGAACTACTGCACCTTCCATAATATTTCTCCCTGGTAGAAACGCTGTTTGTGATGGTCTAATTATTTTTTGAGCAATAGTGTTTAATCTGTTGGTCGTAACTTTGGTAAATATCTTAAAAGAGACATTCAACAAACAGATTGGTCTGTATTGTTGAATAGTCCTAGCATCGCTTTTTTAGGTAGCAAGATAATATTACCAAAGTTCAGACTATGCAAAGGTAAATTTCCTTCCTGAAAATCGTTAAACAATGACATCAGGTCCAACTTAATTAGGTCCCAGAAGACCTGATAAAACTCTGCCGGGAAACCATCGGGACCCGGCGCTTTATTATGTTCCATCTGAAAAATAGCTGCCCTAACCTCGGCTTCTGAGAAATTACCAGTTAGATACTCATTTTCCTCCTCCGAAACTCGGGGGATATCCTGAACATAATGTTCATTTAATTCCACCACTGAGTTATCCGGCGGGCCAAACACGTTTTTATAATACGAGGTGATATGCTCCTTTAGGTGAGCATCACCCTCTATTATGTTATCCCCGTCGTGCAGTTGGAAAATACGAGTTTTCCGGTGTTTCCCATTGGCCATCAGATGGTAGTATTTAGTGTTGGCATCTCCTTCAAGAAGGTGTCTAACCTTTGCTCTTTGGTACCACTTTAATTCCTCTTCTCTCAATAATTCAGCTAGCCTATCATTTAATACATGCTTTAGATTTATTTTTGTCTCATTAAGCGCACAGCCTTCTGCCTTTTTATCTAGCTCATCTAATTTGTCTAAGAGTTCTTTTTTTCCTTTTTATAGTGGCCGCTTATATTTTTCGCCCAGCCTCTAAGGTACTGACGAAGCCTTCTAATCTTATTTTGCCACCTCTCAATTGGTGTGCCAGTATCCACTACACTATTCCATACATCTCTCACCATGTCGCAAAACCCATCCCTAAGCAACCATCCCAATTCAAACTTGAATTGATGTTGGTAAGTCTGAGATGAGCTGTTTGTATTACATAGTAGAGGAGTATGGTCAGAAATCTCTCTGGTTAAAGCATGAACAGTCGTAAGTGGATACTTAGATTCAAAGTCAGTACAAACTAGAATTTTATCTAACTTTTCGAAAGTTTGGTTATGTAAATGATTTGCCCAAGTAAACTTCCGGCCTGTTAATTCAAGCTCCCTTAAATTTAAAGAGTCGATAACCGCATTAAACAAAAAAGGCCACCTATCACTATAATTTGCATTATTTTTCTCACTTGGGCTTCGAATAATGTTGAAATCACCACCCATAATAATGGGTAAGGTTTCATTCGAACATACTCTAGCCAACTCTGACAAGAAAAGAGATTTGTGCTCCAACTGTGCTGGGCCATAAATCGACAAAAGAAAAAACTTAAAATCATTCTCCTTATGACGTAACTTAAATTTTATAAAAAAATCTCCCTCATCTATCTGACCAATATCAAAAGTGAGAAGATTTATCCCAAGAATCATGCCACCCGAACGGCCTCTCGGAGCCTTGCAATGCCAAAGAAAATCTCTGCCCGCGCAGATATTATTCAAAGTTGATTGCGGAAAAGTGGCTCTTCCCATTTCAGATAAAGCAATGAAATCTAAATCCTTCTCTCTAGTTAAATCAGATAAAAACCTATACTTTTTTGAATCCGCAAAACCGTTACAATTCCAAAAAATTCCTTTCATTTTGAACAACTTTTACTCTTCTTTTTATTTTTAGCACCTTTAGACTTAGACTTTTTAGGATGTGATACGGGAGATTGTAGACTCAACGGGTCACAACCCCCATCACCTAAGTCTTCAGAAATACCCGCGCATATAATATTTAATGCCTCTAAGTCTATTCTATCATTCCAAGAACAGACAGAGGAAATATCATCCGCCTCAAGAGAAATATTTTCTACCACTTTCTTTTTTGCCAGCCTACTTTCCTCCAAATCTTTTAATTTTTTTAAAGAGGCAGAAACTTCTAAATCATTAGAACCTAAAGAAACTCCTATTAAACTAGTTGACTGCAGTAACAAAGAATTATCGAAGGAATTAAAAGAGAGGGGTTGCGTCTCTTTACCTTTAAATGAAGTGGTATCTAAGTTCCGCCGCGCTTTCATCGCCGTTGCTTTCTCCAAAGAGTCTTGGTGTGAAATAGACGCAGTCCTCTTGCTAGATCTTGCCGGTGACACTGTCCCCTCACACAACCCCTTTTTCTTGTTGATAATTCCTGCTTCCTTTTTGTCTTGTAGAACACTTGCTTTCCATTGTGCTGTGCCATCTGTATTAAAGCCAGTTTGTGATAATACGACCACAGGCTTAGCCAAGCCTCCTGTGGTCACTACCTCAGCCTGTTTAACTTCAACATTTTCTAAATGTTCAGTGGGAGCCCTAGTGTCGTGTGGCTCACTAGGTGCTACTGAATCATTTTTATTTTTCTTTTCTTCCTGTTCCTCTTGATTACCTCCTAATTTATTCCCATCATGATCCATATCCTCTGGGTCTTCCTCTTCTGGGTCTCTGTCCTCGTCCATGGTAGAGTCCATGTCAATGACATAAGGCTCACCATCGACCAAATCTCTCTCAACCTTGAACTGTAGCTCGTAAACAAAGTCCCCAATAACAACATCCACAAAGTGGGGGATAATATCA